GCGCAGCACTTCATTACCCAAACCCAGGCCCTTGCTGAAGAACAGGCCATGTTCCAGCATCGTCAGCGTGGAGAAAACAATGCACAAAACGCGGCGCTGATGGCTGTTCAAGCTTCGACTGAAACAAGAGTCCAGCAGCTCACTGAACAACAACGTACACTTGCCCATCAGCTCGGTGAAGCTCTAGCTACGACACAAAGCGAGTTATCATCTCAATTCCAGCGAATGCAGGTGCTGGAAGGGGACCAAGTTACACAGATCGAAGAATTCGTCAATAAGAAGCTGGGTGAGGCTCTTCAAAAAGTGCATCAGTCGAGTCAAGTGATTACCTCGCAGACGGACATCGCTCAGAAGCTTTTGGTCGAGATCGAACAAACTATCGACAATAGCCAAGCTACTTTCGCTAGTCACATTCGCCAAGTCGTTGAAGATGAATTGGCAAGCCTGCAGCATGATTCTTTAAGTGCGAAGCAAGTACGGGGAGTGGTGGACGAAACGGTAGCTGCAGCTATTGCTGAGGCAAAACAAACAATCGATACAGAGCTCCAGCGTGCCCGCAGCGAAATTCAACGTGAAATTGCAACCAGAATGGAGGAACCAGTCCGGCACTTAGTTTTGGAGCTGACAACGCAGGCGGCGCGTCAACTTGAATCTCGCGTGCAGAGTCTAGTTACGAATACACAGTCGGAAATGAACCTACAAATTCAACGCCAAGCGGGTGCAACGTCGGTTCTGCGTGAACCAAAGCTGCAGAAGCAGCAAATGCGCTTCAAGCACCGGTCGAATTGAATTGATGAAGCATGGCTAAAGACTTCTATCCAGGATGTGCTGCTCAACAACCCAGATTTAGTGGGCCATGAGCGACAAGAACAGTCACAACAATCAAGCACAGTTTCGAAAGGTGACAAAGAACACAAGGAATATGCAGAGCAGCTCAACGCCACTCTTGAGCGCAGTATCGGAGCAGCAGCTACGACGATCGGTAACGCTATCAACGGTGGAATGCGCTGCATAACCAAGTCCTCACTCAGGCGTGACCACAGTTTTGAAGATAGCGACTCGGATGATGATGTCTGGATGACTCCGAAAGACCGTCAAATGGAAAATCGGATGAAGGAAGCTTGGCGAAATGCTTACCTTTGTAGCAAACCTGATCACGTCTCTCCTGAAGCGAATTCAGACCACGAAGGCAAGAGCTCTCGAGACAATCGAATTGAAAATAAACCAGAAGTTCTGGCTCGGAGTTACAAGGACAGTGAAGGACTCGTTTCATCTCCGCAAACTCAGTTACCCTTTACCGGTGGAGCCGCGTTTGATTCCAGTGTACTGCTGGTGGTACCGCCTACTCAAACACAGATCTTCGTCCAGAATAAAACGCACCATGAACACCGTCTATCTGAGCTACGGCGCCGTCAATGCCTGGAGCTTGAACAACTCCAGCAGGACGCGCCACTACCAATTCAGTACCGGGGGCGTCATCGCGAGACCCATCCTCCTGTTCCACCACGTCAATCTGGAGAACATCGACACCAAGTCCAGCGTCACCACAAGCAAGCTCACACAAATCGAATGCAGCGGCTTGTGAATGACCTTCAACAAGAAGTTACTACCAGAGCGGAGTTGGAGGCACAGCGGTATTCATCGAATAACTAACGCGCTGTGAGCAGCGTTGGAATGGCTGCATATTTAAGAAGAACGAATTCAGCGATCACCGGCGTTTGAAAACGAGATCAGGTACGCATTCACGAAATGACGTCTAGGAGAAGCTGTATGTACAACCTTGCACTAAAATCACTAATCCAAGAATTGACTGTAGACACGAAACGGGGTTGTGATTGCAGACATTTAATGTAAGCAATATATATTTTCAACGTTTATTTAGATGTTGTGCCCGTATCCGTAGTCACTGTACAGGATCAGAATCTTCTTCTAGCGTACGCTTCAAATATATTCGCCTGGTAAATTGGGAGCTGGGGGTTGAAGTTGTATGGAGGACAAATTGTTCATGGTCAAGCTGCCTTCGTCGGAAAACACGAACGGCAACAGTATCAAGTCGGTGCACAAGATGCACAAGTCGCTGGCGGTGCTCAAGAGCGTGCTGCAGGGCCCTGGACATCGAAAACCATTTCGTCGTTGGCTGGCCGTATCCCGCTGGACGTGTTCGCGAAGAACGAAGGCTGCGTCCGAGGAGCCGACGGCCACCCACGAGTTCAACGTCGCGGAGGTTGCTGAGACCTTGGACGAGAAAAAGAAGACGCTCGACATGGACCAGAAGCGCTCGGACTTTGAGACGTCCGTGCTGAGGCTGCGCGACATTGCCAGGAAGTACAAGCACGGCTTGAGATCTGGCGAGGAGGCGGTTCTGACGGATCTGATCAACGAGTACTTCACGGTGGAAACCGTGTACGTGAACTCACACAACATTGAGGACGTGGTGATGGCCTTGCGCCAGCAGATCCCGTCTGATCTGGATAAGGTCTTTTCCATTGCTCTCTCGAACAAGGCGTTGGAGTCGAAGAACAAGCTGCTGCTGCAGCTTCTTGCTCAGATGGCGCGTGGTACTCCTCGTAAGTCCGTGAAGACCGTTGTTTCGTGCCGCTGCTCGAGAAGATCACTACCTTCACGGAGAAACAGTACTCGCTGGTGGCTCTGCCGTCGTACCGCGCCAGGTGGAGATGGTCCTCAAGGACTATCTCACTAACGAACATTACTGAGGCCTGCACGAACCTCCTGGGCCAGTCACAGCCGCTGTTCGATCTGCTTATTTCGCTCCTCGACCATGAAGACCAGAAGATCCGGGAGTTGGCTCTGGAGTTATACGCGCAACGTGTCTCATCGAGTCGATGGAAACGATGAACTTCAATTACATCTTCGTCAAGACGTTCCAGTTCAAGTCGCCTGTTATCGACGCGCTGGCGGGTGGTGTTGCCCCCACCGAGAGTTACGATGACCTGACCAGGGTGCTGTGCGACGCAACAGCTCCGCCAGCTCGCTGACCCTGGGTGAGCACAACTCGGAGGAGAGCAACGATGACCAAGAGACCGTGGACAAGCCTCTGCCCAAGCCAGTCGAGAGCTACCAGAAGATCTCTCCGGACTTTGAGTGTCACGGCGCATCAAGAACGCGTTCATGGACGTGATAACGTTGTTCCCGCTTGCGAAGAAGTCGTTGTCGGAGCGCAACGACCCTCTTGTCAATGTGCTTCACGTGATTCTGGTGAACGAGCACTCGGAGAAGGCGAACCTGCTGGAACCGGCCGAGATGTACCTCGAGTCAGTGGACCAGAGCCTCCGCCCGCACAACACCCGCCGCGTGACCTTTTCGGTGCGCCCGTAGAACACCGAGAATATCTCGACCACAACGCTGACATGGCGTTGTACCCGAACATCTACACTTTCCCTGGCCGTCTGAACTACAGTGAGGATAAGATCGTGCGCCGCATGGAGGCCCCGATCGCCTACAAGCTGGAGCTGCGTCGTCTGCAGACCTACAACGTCAAGGAATGGATTGCGTCTCGGGTGGCAAATCTGCGCCAAGAGGATGGTGTCCTCAAGGTGCCCAACACTCTGCAGATCATGCACCACCTAGACGGCAAGGTTAGGAGCTTGACACTCGAATTGAAGAGCTGTCGTTTGAAGCAAGGACTACGTTTGTTTGATCCAAGAGTAAATGTATTAGTTATTCACAGAGCTGACTTCTCTTCTTCTTCGTTAAGCTCCCTAGAAATGCTGGTACTAGAAACAAACTCGGCAAGAATATCTGGATTAACGTCGTCCATGTAGAGGTCCGGATCAATGCCAACCAGAAGGTTTGAAGGCTTGTGGAAGCGGTGCTGGCCCCGAGGGATTTCTTCGCATTGCAGTAGATTAACAAACTCTGGATTCCTGTTTATAAAGATGCCCATGTCGATGGTGTCTCCCGACAAGCTCGTTCGTTGTGCTGACACCATTGCGCCACTGACGCTGAAATCCCTCTCAATTTGACAGGACGAAACAGGAATCGAGAAGAGCACACGTACCGCTTTTGGGATGATTCGGTATTGTCCGGAATGCTCAAGCCGCTTCCAGAAGTCAAGCACAGTTTCTTTCGCAGCCATGTTGGCGTTGCGCTCAACATCCACCGTATCTTCCAACTAGCGATCCAATTCATCTTCGGCACGTTTATCAACGCGAGGCACCACAGCAGGTCTTGTGCGTGGCGCAAAACGTGCCTCTAGCGGGCTCAACTGAGGTGAAGACGCGTTCACGTGACCTGCGACACCATTTAATGGTCCGGCGACCTTCTTCAACAAGGATAGTAGGTTTGATCGAATTTTGTCGTTGACTGCGTTTAATCTGCTGACGGCTTCCTTGCCCTTTAATCCATGCTGTCGGCAACACAGGACCACAGCACGGTTAAGGGATTCTTGAGTGTTTTTGTAGATTGGGTGGAGTTTCAACATCATCTCCAGCACGAAGTCACACTTATCAAACGCAGAGTCCTTGTAGTATCGAGCGAAAAAAAACGTTCGTCCAAAGCTTCGCGTAAGAGATCACGGGTCTTCGCTGCTAGAGGCGTCAAAGAGCTTGCCGGTATCCACTGTGGCGTCTCATCTGTTGATAGGTAGTGCAAGATTGGTTGGTTGGGACAAATGTTGTCAATGCGGATCATATACAGCGACATCAGTACTTCCACCTGCTCTGGCCTCTCTGCCTGGCATTTAAACTTCAAATTCGCAACCGGAGCAGGCAGTGATAGTGCCTGGACGAGCTCGGAATGGCAATTTTCCAGAGGAAAAGCTGGAGGTGGTCGACGTTCTTGAATGGCATGGTCTGCTAGTATCTTATACCACTCGACAACTGCCTCCCATTTGTCCAGCACCCTTCTCATCGCTTTCGTCAAGCTCAGGAATCGTGATGCAGAATGTCCGATAAGGCGCTTTGATGCCCCTTTTGTTCTCTCCTTACAAAGCTCACCAAACAAATCTCCAGCCGAGGATATCAGCTTTACATTTGATATAACAGTCGTCATCTTCGTAATTAGACCCGCCATTTCAGGGTTGGCCTCTTTACTCCTTCTTCCACCCAACCCACACGACATTTTGGTGGCGGCATGGGCCATGTGGGCAAAACACCACTCCCAGCGCAGCTGTAGATTCGAACGCAGCATGAATTTGACGTCGCCACCCGCGTCGCTGGTCGCCCCGAAGAAGTGTTGGGGCTTTAGGTCAAAGTCAGCTAGTGAACTTGTCAACCACATGTGAAATGGCTTTTGGATTCCACCTTCACGCTCACCAAAAGCCGGATTAATCTGTTTTGTTCCGAGAAGGACAGAGTTAAATTGCCAGTCTTTATCGATCATGTACACCCTCAGCCCCAGATATTTGTCGTTGGTGGTTTTGCATGTCCAAAAATCCGCAACTAGTGTGAAGTTCGGGTAAACCTCTCGGTTATCAGCAAGGTACTCCATCATCTCCTTCTTCGTGGACTGATACAGCTCGACAATGGCCGCACTAACGCGCTTGGGGCCAATGTCCGTCTGCATTTCCTTCTTCACCACCAACGCTTTCAGCAACTTTGCCTTTTTATATTCGCCACTTCTCAGCGGCAAATTGTGGTTGACAATTTTCAGTGTTTCCAGTAGTAAAGTCGGCCGAGCTGGATTGTTGGTATACAGCGGCGAGGCGCGAAGTTTGTCGATCTCGCTATCTCGCTTCCTCTTGCCAGTAACTTCAACGTCTGTCTTTGGCGATGCAAGATTATGTACCTGTGGGAGATGCTGGGCAGCTCGGGATGTCTTTCCTGTAGACATCCGGTAGAGATTTTCACCTGACGTTCTTCACGTTTCATCGGCTAAATACGCCCACCGGACTGTGAGCTTGTTGTTCTCGTCGCGGTACTCGACCCTTACTCCCCACTTAAAAATGTAGGAAGTCTCGTTTTCTGCAGGAGGAATCACCTTAAACGGCCCTATCGACTGGAAGTTCGCGATGGCTTGCTTTACTGCAGCCGGAGGCTTCAACGCAGACTGAGGTTGCTGCATAATTCACTTGCTTGCGTCAACAGCAACACTGCCGGAAGAAGTAGTTTTTACCAACTCTTTTGGCCAGAATCACGGTCGTCGTCGAAGGTCGAGCGCTGAGAGAAGCGGGCTGCTCCTACCGTGGAAATCTTACAATGCCATTTGCGATCTTAGATCGCTTATGCAAAATTTCGAATAGATTTTTTTTTACCAATCACATTCCCTTAGAACGAGCACGCACCCGACCAAATGGGTACATGAACGAGCTTGAACGAGCATTCGAGTCAGTGTGCTCGTGGTTTTCGAACTTAAAGGCTACGAGCGCGTATTTCGTTGTTTTCGTGCTCGCGCACTTAACGACGAGCAGCGAAGTTCGCAATTTTGTGCTCCCCTAACCCGTGCTCGTCCGAGGCTTGCGTATCGGTGAAGCTGGATTCACATTCAGTGGTCAAGAACCGACGGACTACGGTACTACGACTCGGTGACGGTTCGAGCGACTCCTCGGTGGGTGCGACTAGCAGTTGAACGCTCGACGGAGACATGAGAAGGCACAGGAACAGTTGGGACAGTTGAGGCAAGTGTTGGCACGTGTAGCGGTCCATAACGGATCATAGTTCACTTGATATTTATATACCTAATTAGGATTGCATATTAGGAAGAGCCCGAAAGGGCGCCATAAATAACAGAACAGAGTTTCCACTCAAGCACATGAGCGAGGCCCGGCTTCAAGATAAGCGTCTGGATCAGCGTGTGTGGGTGTGTTATGCCTGTCGGTGGACTCGAAGCTTACTATCGAGGGTTCATCCGGCAAGGCCAAGAGAGTGTGTGTATTGGCCGATTATATATCGGGAGTTTACGTGACGGCTTTATTGTGCCTATTTGCACGTGTTGGGGAGAGCGAGTTGCCTCCCATATATTCTTCCAGTCGAGTGTTGAACACTCGGCGCCCTCGTAAAAGGTTATTTGTGCCTGGTACCCTTCCGCTGTTGGGACCACGAGAATTCATAACACCTACTAGCTTTGCTCGTACTAGTAGCGTGTTCTTATTTTCACTGGTTGGCCTATATAAGCGATTTGCAGGTCCAGTCTGTCCCGGTGTAAGGGCTGAGTCTGGGTCTTCAGATCACCCCCCAAACGATCGTTTACCGTTCTGGTAGACGTATTGTTGTGGGTTTACCCTACCTACACTAGTAGCTAGAGTTGCCGTGGGAATTACTACACCACACTCCCTGAGGCACAGCCGAGTTCGACTCGACTGACCTCCTCCACAAAACCCTGCGCCCTCCACCAAAGGATGGACGACGGATCACCAAGTGCAATGACAAATCGGCTAGAAGTGTTACGGCGCCCGGGCTGTACGGTGTACCGGCCGCCGAGCTCGGCGGACTTGTCGTTTTTTTGCGCGGAGCGATACCTTGTGCTCTACCCGGGCCAACCTAATCTCTTGGCGCTGCAAGTCGAGTACCTTACAATCTATGCCTCTCGGGTATTGATGGCAGACCTGTACAGGGACTTACCGGAAGAGTGTACACGTGTCTTGGTCTAGGAAAATTATGCTCAGATTGGCTATCTATCGGGAGCCCCTTTGGGCTCATCCTATACCTCCCATGCTTCCTATACATTTATCAAGTGAAATGAAAGTCGTTTTCGGATCTCGCCGAGTCCCTTCCGCCGAGCTCGGCGACCGTTGAGCTCAGCGGCCATCCGGATAACGGTATCAGTACGATCCGCCAAGTTCGTACCGTGACCCACAGCTCCTTAGATCATGGATACATACGCCATAGGCCCAGGTACCAGAACGGTTCTGACTGAAAGTAAACTAAACATTTTGATTGGCTATCCGAAATTGGTACATGGTACCATTTTTGTCTGTTTGAGTTCCCAGACCTCTGTGGTGAAGCGCCAGTTGGCTTTTGCGAATTAGAAAACTGATTGATGGGAAGTGACTCGATCCAGCCCTGAGACTCGTGGTCGACGACGGTGC